TTGACATTTTTTTTCTATATGTATCAAGTTGTCTAGTAGAACAATTAGTTGTAATAACTGAATTTGTTATTGCTACTACGAAATTATTATATTAATTTATAATTTCTTTAACAATCAAATTTAAAATATGCGTACAACAATGGATATGAAATAAAATTCTGAGGGTAAAATTGACTTAAGAATAAATACAGTAATTATAATGTGTTGCATTATCTAAACTAATTGCAAATATTTTATTTTTCACAACCCAACTAGATAACTCACTCCAAATTGCTACCCCAAATAAATGACTATTATATAGAAGTTCTACTAATTTAAATGAAATTATTCTTTTACGTAATTTCCAATAGTTATCTATATAATGTGCAGTAATACATTGATATTCTAAACATTGTTTTGACTTCCACATATTATATGTTAAACAAATTTTTCCATTCAAGTTTTGAAAAATATTAAATTATTCAATTTTTACCTCTTGATATTTCTTTAATACTCTGTTTCTAATAATATTTCTTTGGAAAACCTTGAAATTAAGATTTATAAGCTCCTTGAACGAATTCAGCATAATCGGGAGATTCACTAGTAATAAAAAGTTGTTCACGTTTAACAATATAATTAAGGGAAAATATCATTTTAGTGGAAGGTGGAAAAAAATATTTATAAATTAATGAAAAACTTTTCTATATTAAAAGTTAAATTTATAAAAAATTTCATGAAATTGATATTAAGACCTGCCCAACACATCCTATAACTCAATATACAAGTAAAAAGGATGCAAACAAGATAATAAACAACTACCAACATCCACGGACACATGTCCAGATCACTGTACAACAAGGGTAAACCCGGGATCGCTATATCATGTGGATTCTGCAGAATAGGAAAAGTTTGGCTTTGAGAGTGAAACTTTGAGGCCCATGAAGTGTAAACAGATAGCAGAGTTGCTCAATGGTATTGCTGAAAGATTTGACTGGGATAAAATAATGGAGGGTGACAACATTATTGGACTCAAACAGGTAGACACTCTTCTATCTTGTTTTTCCGATAAAAAAAAAAAAAAATCTTATCTAAATACTTGGAAAGTTTTTAACCGCTTTCTGGTTTATGTATTACTTCATTATGGACGATGATGCTCTATTTTTTTGGTTCAAAAGCAATAAAAAAAATTTCATTCATGTTCTTTCTGAATTTTTTTTTTCATAAAAGTAACATGCAACAAGTTTTACCTTTTGCTTTCGGTGTATTTCTGGAGAGCAACTTCAGAGACTTCACATTACTATCATCCAGGGAAAGCAAAGCATATCATTGGAACCAGGAGGCCAATTTGAGCTTAGTGGTGCACCTCTTGAAACTTTACATCAAGCTTGAGCTGAGGTTAATTCACATCTTTATCAGGTTTGTCTGAAACATATAACTTCAGCATATAGATGAAGACATGTGGTTGATATATAATATGTTAGGAATTCTTCAATTATGATTTATGAGAAAATGAATGTATGTGATTCTCAAACCACATATCATGGCTTTCAGTTTTTATGTGGTTCTGACGAAGGTAGGATTTGATCTTTGATCTCAAGTCTGTGTGATGATGACCAAGAACTATTAGCTATGCTAGATGGTATCATGAATCACACATGATGTTATGGAAGGCCAAGCTTATCATATTTGAGGATCACGTGTGAGTTTAAGGAAGTTGAAGGAAGAACACATGCTTGATGACATGTATTAAATCATAGGTTGTGGGGGGAATTTTAGGAAGATGTACTCATCATATATAAGCAAGATGTGATGAATTGTTCGAGCTTGGCGACTTGGACCAGGTTTATGGTATCCTCCAAATTAGAGCTAGTTGTTTGTGCTGTAGATTAGTTTCCTACCCCACTACCACCAGTTGAGCATGGCTTATGACCTGTAGTACATATGGCTAGCAAAGACTTAACTCGCTGGTACAATTGATTACTTTGTCATAGAGTTTGAATCAGTTAGGAATAAAAAGGAATTCAGATACCTATCAGCATGCACAGCCCAGATTTAAGCCTAACCCATCAAGGTTCCTGTTCCAGTTTTGTATGACTCCTTCAGCTTACCTGCTGTTGGGGCTGCAAACAAGTCGAGCCAAGTTCTGGGGTGTTCGAGTTTGGCTCATTGAAATTAGTTGAGCTGGAGCTTGAGTTAAGCTCAAAGAATCGAGCCCAAGCTCAGCTTGTCTAGTGCTTGAAAAACTTAAGCTTGGCTCAAGTCAACTCAATTACATATACAAGCAGAGTTTGAGCTTGAAAATAAAAATCAAACCTAAATTAATTTGCACATTAAGGGGGGAAAAAAAAAAGAGATTAGATTATGAGAAAAAACATTAAAACAATGTTCATATTATTAATAAGTTTCATGGATCAATTATGTAAATTTGCAGAAACGCCAAACATCAACAACAGAATTATCCACACACACACACAAAAAGAAAAGGCGAAAAACCAACATGGTGTTACATCGATATATGAATACAAGATCAACTATCCGTGTACTTGCACAGTATTTTGGCTTAGGGAAGATATGAGATTATGAGGACTTACATGCCTAAAGTTGGCACTCTTGGACTTGATATGATGTTTCGGACATACACTGTTCAGGTGTGAGAAATTTTACATTTTTGGTGTTCTAGTCATCTCAAATCAAGACTCCTGAAGTCACTAAGCATTTTTTTTTTTCCTTCCAAATCTATAAGTTGTATTCTGAATGGGAAATGTTGGATACATTTCTGGCTTTTATAGGTCAATTTGGACTTCAGCTCTCAAGTGGACATGATCAGGAAATTACGTGTTGGTCTTGCTTTGCAGCCTGTATGAAAACTTGCTCTTTGTTTTTCTTATTGGAGTTTCTTTGGTTCTCTGGAATCTGATGAACATAGTAATTGAAACAGATCACCACAGCCTTGTTTATAAAGTTTGGTTGTAGTGATGGATTAGTACACATCATTGGTACAATGATTTCATTAATAACATCTTAATTGTTCTCAGCTTATCTGTCTTAAAACAGTTCAGAACTTGAAGGTGATTCATTGCCTTTAGAATTTGTGTTAAGAACTTTCTATTTTTAGATTGTTAGAGGGAGATGAGTTTTAAATTTTACTTCCCTGTGAGGGGGAGAAAGATGAGAAGGATGAAAGGTGCTTGTCCACTAGGTGTTGGGGTTGGGTTTGGCCATGCACGGTGGTGGCCTGGTGGACTGTGTCTATGAGGTTGCTGAGTCACCCAACATGGATGTTTGGGGAAGTGGCTGCTGGGTTTTGTTTTAGAGGTGGTTGATAGCCATGGTGGTCCATGAGGCTATTGGTCAGTGGTGGCATGTGAGGTGTAGGAGGAAGTGAAAAGAAGAGTGATACTTTAGAAAGGAGGAGGAGGGAGAGGGAATGAAGAAGAAAAGAATAGATAAAGACAAATTAAAAAAGGGAGAAAAGTGTCATTATATATATTTCTTAGAATCACACACGATCAATTTAGTTGTGTTGTACACGCACGGTTAACTTAACTAGAATTTGCAACTTTTGCACTTCACTCTAAATTTCAATAGGGTTATGTGTATATTTTTAAACATGAACGAGGTAAAGCGTTTTTGGACAAACCATAAAGGGGTAAAATGTCATTAACCCAAACTGTTTGGAGGTCTAATCGTGTTTTTATTTCAATATCTATTCATGTGTGTTTGTTTTTATTTTTATGTTTGCTTGCATGTGTGTTTTGACCTTTTTACCTTTTTGAGGTTAAAAATAAAACAGGAAAATATTTACATTTAAATGAAAATGGTAACTCCTGTAAAAACCATGGGCTGATTAGTTTGTATCAAACACGTCATGTGATTCTCGCTGGTTCTTGTTGACATTAGTGCTAGTGATACATGGTATTCCTACAATCTTTTGGCATCTTCTGTTATCCGTGTTGTTTATCACCAAGGATCACTTCAACTCTTTGAAGTTTTGGATTGTTATATGCATTTCTACTAAATTGGTTTATAAAATAAAATTATTTATATGAGTTTAGATGTAATTGATAATATGTTAATGTTCTCCTTATTTATTTTCTTTGCAGATTGGTTTTTGGTGACATTTGGAAGCATACTTGCAAGTCAAGATCAAGTGTTGATTTTTTATTTTTATTTTTTCTGAACTGATACTTAGTTCTAGTTACAAATTAAGATCAAGTGTTGATTTGGAAGGAAAGTTGGTTGAGATTTGCGAAAATAGCATGTGACCATTGGAGCACCATAGTAATAATTTGGCAATTTACTACTATTCATTGCCAAATTATAGCAATGGCAATGCTATTATAGCAAATACCATTGGAGATGCTCTTAGTTCATTTTGAGATTTGCTATGATGGTTTTTTTGTTATACTTAATGGATTATTATTAAATTTGTTAGATGGATATATTTTGATTTATAATATAAATTGTTTGGTGAATTTTTTTTGTACAGGTGTATAATAGCTAGTGGATTTCTTAGTACATTTCATAGGCTATTTGGATATGAGTAGGGATATTTGTGAAATAATAATTTAAATTGAAATATAAAATATGAAACAAGTTTAGTGACACATTTTTTGGTCATTTGTACTTGTAATTATGACAAAGTAATTATTCATCTCAAATAAATATTTTTTGTGACAATTGGTTGCAGCATATATATGGAAGTTCTCATTGATTTTGTTGTTTGGTAACTAAAAATTTTGTCACGTATACATATTTTTGTCACGAATTATATTTCGTCACCCATGTTTGACTTTTGGAGACAAAAATTTTTGTCAACTTTACATCTTACTGTGACGAAATTATTTCTTCATCAATGATCAACATAGGTGACAAATTTATTCGTCAACTAAAATTATAAACATGATATTGAATAACTATTTGGTGATGAAAATGATAATTTTTTTGCGACAAAATATTGTTTTATTGGTGACAAAACATTTTGTCACTAAAGTAATTTCATTGGTGACGAAAAGCAATTTTTAGTGACAAACATTCAATGACGAAATTGGTGAAGAAAATATTTCCTCACAAATATCTATAGTGACGAAATTAGCTCTTTGGAGACAAAAAAAACTTTGTCATTCAAGACCTAACTTCTTGTAGAATCACCGCCACAAACTCATCACCACCAATATCAAATTTGAACCATTTTGGTAATTTATACCGGGAACATTGCTCTTCGAAATCAATATAAAAGAAGCCAACAATTTTTGGTGCTACAAGGTAGGTATATATGCAAGAAAAATAAAAATAAAAGCAACACAAAATAAAATAAATAAGATGACAATAAAGAGAGAAACCACACCATATGTGTGTGGTTCGGTTACTACCATACACACATGGCGCACAAAGGCCCTAAGGGTACACCTCTCTTTTTATTGATTTTCACTCTTAAGTATTTATTCTTACAATAAAAATCCCTATATGAAAAGTATATTTTAGTGGGTAATAGAGACGATTGGGTTTTATCTAATATCTAGCATATCCTTACTAAACAAAATAGCTTTGCACTGTCTTTGAGGCTTGAGTTTTGCTAAGTGCACAAAATTAGTGCACGAAAAAATATGCAGAATAGAAAGGGATCAATTCTGCACATTTTCATTGGCAGCAATTCGGTGCACATAGGTGAGGCTCTACAGAAATTTTCGGGTGGATAACAATTGAGAAACAATGTGCATGGTTGGCCTAGATTGTGGATTGACATACAAACATGCGATTGCCAATTTTACACTACACATCACTACCTCGTCAACTTTAGGGGAGGGAGGTGAAAGGCGTTGGTCCAACACATCCTTTAGCTGTATGTTCTCAATAGTCGGGGTCAACAGGGACATGATGAAGTCTCTCGGATGCTTTCCTTTGATCACTTCCAGTGCTAACACACCAAAGCTATAGACATCACACTTTTCAATTACCTTCATTGTGTGAGCAAGCTCTACAAGAAAAGAGAGACATGGTAATGCACTTGTTTTGTTATGCTTTAGATTCTATGCCAATTTAGGAGAGCATAAAACTATGTTTACCTGGTGCAACATATCCGTATATTCTTGCAAATGCACTCCAGTTAGAGGAATCTAGCTTCAAAAGCTTGGCAGTGCCAAAGTCCGAAACATGAGCCTCATACTCCTCATCAATTAGAACATTGTTGCTGGAAATGTCTCGGTGAACAATAGGCGGTGTGCAATCATGGTGCATGTATGACAAAGCGCTTGCCACACCCTTAATAATATTCACCCTCTTAGGCCAATCCAATTCTTTAGCTTCTTCGTCTTTGTTAAAAATTGTAGCCAAACTACCTCTTTCGAGGTACTCATAAACTAGAAAAGAGTATCGAGCATGTGAACAATACCCAAAAAGCTTCACTATGTTTCGATGCTTAATTTCTGTCAATGCCCTTACCTCATTTAAGAAATCTTTCCTATCAGCCCTCTCGGATAACGGATGAAGTTTCTTCACAGCTATTATATTAGTTGATGGTAACTTCGCTTTGTAGACAGTTCCGTATCCTCCTTTTCCAATGCAATATGTGGCATCAAAATCGTTGGTAGCTTGTACAATGTCATTGTACATTGCTCTTCCATCGAATATTGCTATCGACAACAAATCATCTTTCGGGGGTTGGGTGTCACCCTCTTCCACGTGTGACTTTGTCTTTCTTGAATTGAACATGATGAGAAGTCCAACGAATGCACCTAGAAGTAAGAGTGCTCCACCAAGAGGGAGCACGATTACAAGAACAAGTGTCCTTTTTTCTAGAGTGAGTTTGTGCAATGCAGAAGGAACTTTGCAAGGCTGCAGGCCTTTGAAATTTCCACACAGACCTTTGTTCCCTTGTAGTGCTTCTATTGATGCATTCATAAAGGCGTTGCTCATGGGAATAGGACCTTGCAACTGATTGTACGATATATCAACATACACCAAGCCACGCATATCTTCAAAACTCTTTGGAATGAGACCAGAGAGTTTATTGTGCGAGAGGTTCAACTTCTCCAAGCTCTGCAAATTTGTGATTTCCAATGGCATTTCTCCTATGAGAATATTACTACTCAGATCCATCTCGTTTAGTTGAAATAACTTACCAATCTGTAATGGAATTTTCTGGTTGAACATGTTGTTGCTCAGGTTCAAGTAAAACAAAATTTGATAGTTCTCCAAAATACCTGGTATTGGCCCACTAAATTTGTTTGTGGATAGATCAAGTTTCAACAACTTAGTTAGTGATCTGAGTTCTTGAGGTATCCAACCCGAAAGTTGATTATCAGCCAAAATTAGCCACTCCAAAGAAGTCAACTTTCCAAATTCCTTTGGGATCACCCCAACTAAACGATTTGAAGATAAATCAAGTCGTTCTAGCCGTGTTGACTTTCCAAACCCTGGTGGAATGCTACCAGTGATGTTATTTCTTGCTATTTTTAGGAGTGTCAAAATTGGGAATATTTCCCAATTTTCTGAGAATTTGCCATAAAAATTGTTGTTACTTAGATCTAGGTAAACCAGGTTTGGATTAGTGCCCAAATCTTCGGATATATTTCCAATGAATTGGTTTTCATCAAAGCGAGCTCTGGCTAAGCTTGAATAGTTTTTCAAACTTTGGGGAATTGTACCTGTGAGCTGGTTGTGGTTCACAGTGAAGTTCATAAGTTTACCACCTTGGCAAAGCTCTGGGAGATTGCCAGAAAACTGGTTGTCATCCATTTCTAGTACAAGCAAGTTTTTCAAATTGCCAAATTCATGTGGAATGGGATCGGAAAGTTGGTTGGAACGAAGGAAAAGTTTTTCTAACCTAGACAAATTGCCTAATGAAGCAGGAATAGGACCACTGAGTTGATTTTCGCTCAATTCCAGATCGGCGAGGAACTTCAAATTTCCTAGTTCTTTAGGAATTGAACCAGAGAGTTGATTATTCCAAAGATGTAGGAGTGTTAGGGAGCTCAAATCACCAAAAGATGTTGGAATTGAGCCATTAAGATTTTTGATTTCAAAGCTTAGGTCCTGGAGTGATTTCAACTTTCCTGGAGCTTAAATTTTTTGGTATTTTATGTTCTTTATTGATATCTCTTGGGGCTATCATTAGGCTTTGTTTGGAAGAGTTTTGGAAATGCAATTCTACCTCTTGACTTGCACGTGGTGTTTGGTTACAGTTTTCAAAAATTAATTCCATATCCACTTTTGAAAACTCTTTCTAAGGTGGGAAAATTTGGACTAACTAGTCGTCTCCCTAGACGTTCGGTCGGTCGTCCTCCCGGATGTCCAGCCGATTGACTGAAACAGTGCAATATATATATATATATATATATATTATTTTTTTATTTTTTTACAATTGGCACCTGTTATTTTTTATATTTTAAATAAAAAAATTTGGAATTTTTAATTTTTTTTTTTATGAGTTTTGAATAGAATTTTGAGTTGTGTGTTTGGTTATGAGTTGTAAGTTTTTGTATCAAATATCATATGTCACATCAAAAATTTCTCACTCAATTCAAAACTCTTTTCAAAACTCATTCACCAAACAAATTTTCTATACTCCAATCATAATTTCAAAACTCACAAACTCAAAATACAACTCCTATTCTCAAATCATATTTAAAAAACTCTACCAAACGCTACCCTTAATTTTCTTCTTAAAAAAAAAAAATGTATTACAAAAAGGGTAACAGTAGGGGGTGGCCATGGGCCTGATGGCCCACCAAGCCCAACCCGATATTTTTAGGACTTAAAAAAAATATTTAAATTTTTAGTTTAATTAATTTTTAGGTTAGACTTGGATAAAGAGTTTTAGCTCAGTCTGTTCATTTATAAAATACTTATCTTATTTTTATTAAAAAAATAATAAAAGATAAAGAAAAGTACATATATATATTTCTTTCTTTCTAGAGTTTAAATTAAAACATTTCTTAAAGGATTATATTTATTTTATAATTGAGTTTTGTTAATGTTTCAAATTCAAATAATTATTAAAAGGGTTTAAATAATATAATAGCCTTTCAAGACGAAATATTTATTGAGTGAAGTGGGTAGATTTGAGATTTAGACATTTTTGTAGGATTGAGCTTGAGATGGCTAAGTTACACTTGATGTTAAGACATGCCAAGTTTAATATAACCGTGCATAGTACTGGTCTAGCCTTATATTTATCCACCCCTAAGCAACACAATCTTTTTTGTTGTTCTAAGGATTCATTTAAAAAAATAATAAAAAAAATTAATCTTTTTTGTTAAAATATGTGTTAAAAAAATTAAAATGTGTGAGAATAATTGTTTGATTTTTATGAAAAAATATCCAAAAAATAAAGAGAATGGAAGAATTTTTTAACTTTCTTATTTAATTTTTTAGTTTTTTAAATAATTTCTTGATTTTTGTTTTACTAATTTAACCACTTTCCAAAATTAACCAAAGTAATGGAGAGTTAACGTGCAGACTCCCCCATGGGTCTATGTTTTTTAGGTTTTTTTTTTTGGCTGAAGTCAAGGAGCGTAATAGTTCGAATTTTGTTCCAACTTGATATTGGTTGAAACAGTAAGATTTAATATATTTTGTTAAATTTTTAAAAAATAATTAAAATTATCAAATAACAAATAGTATGGAGCAATGTTCTAGATGATTAAATAATCACCCCCATCCTACACTACCCACACTATTTCTACCGAATGAATAATTCTAACCAATAATAGAGGTGTTTGGGAAATTGACTATTTTAATTGGCTATTTTGGTCTTTGACTATTTTAGTATGTTAAAATATTGTGTTTAGGAAGAGTGATGTATTTTTTTATTGTTGGATATGATGTTTGTGAGAGAAAAAGTAAAATGATTATGGATTTAATATGACATTTTATCTTATTAACTATTTTAATTTTTTTTTAGTGTTATTTTGTTCAAAATTTAAAAAAAAAAAAAAACTATTGTCAAACATTTGGAGATTTTAACATTTTTTGGAATTTTAAGACTGACCAAAAGTCACACTTCCAACAGCCAATGACTTTCTTCTTTCTTCTTTTTTTTTTTTTTTTTTGAGTGAATAACAGCCAACGACTTCACTTGTCTTGTTGGTTTTGTTTGTTTTTAAAGTTAAGTTAGGTGAAATTATCAATGTAACAACTCATATTTATGGCTTAGTCATGTTTGCATGCATTTATATGTTTTGCCATGTTAAGTTGCTGTAACAACCCATATTCATGTCATAGTATATTCATGTTCATTTACATAACTTTGTCTTGATAAGTTTACATTCATGAATCTTGTCTTGTTTTGTATTCATGTGATTTGCCTAAGTGTTGCTTGCATGCTTTGCTCCTTCCCTGATGTTAAGCCTAGGTTATGTTACGCCTAGATCATTCCTAGCCGAGGTCACCTTCAGCCTAGAAATTTGTCTTGGAACCATTTTGTTTGACCTCCACCTTCGCCTTGACATATTGGCCTAGATGTCATTATCTAGGCCGAGGTGTTCATCACCAAGGCCGAGATGTGTATTATCTAGGCCGAGATGTTACCTTTACACCTAAGTGATCTTGTCCTGAAGTGGTATGACCTAGACCGAGGTGTGGCACATCTAGCCCAAGGTGTGGCACAGCTTAGTCAAGCGTTGTCCTTCCTAGCCGAGGTCATTGTCACCTTAGTTGCCGAAGCTTTGCCCTTAGCCGATGTCATCACTTGCCGGAGTGCCTTACCGGGTAGCTTGTTAGATATGCTTTGTCATAGTCTTGTCTTGTCAATCTATCACCTTTTTGAGAAGAGCCAACCAGCCATTGCCACGTGTCCGAGCTGAGTGTTAAGTCAGCCGATAGAGAGAGAAAACCTATCATTTGTTCTATCTTTGTTTTGAAGAGGAGAGAGAAGCTCTAAGAGAGGAAGAAGAGTTCTTGAGGGAGAGTAGATTTCTAAGCTTGATTCCTAGAGATCGAACCGTTAGATTCGTGTTCTAAGGTTAGATTCTTGATCTGCTATTGTCATTCTTTATGTTTATGTTATTGCATTGCATGATTGAATATGATTTGTAAGCCATGCATTGCTTTGAAGTTCGGTATTAGAAAGAGAAAATAGCATTCATGTGTTCTTCAAGAAAAGTCATGTTTTGATCCGAAACCTTATGCCAAGATCCGTGTTTTTGTGTTTGTTTTCACATGATTTTCAAGTATGGGTACCCAGGTCCATGTTTTCGAACTCATAGCATGAAATCCCAGATTTTTGTAGTAAAGAAGTTATGATTTTAGCATTCATGTTCTTCATGATCTTCATGTTCATGTTCTTCCTGTCCTTCACGGGTGGAAACCCAGATCTCCAGACCTCACTTCCTGAGGTGTAGTCACCGAGATCACTCTCACCTAGACCTCACACTTAGGCCAAGCATCGTATCTCACCTTGGCCTACCTTGCATGATCACTTACACCTTTAGTTTGTCTTGTGCGCACCTCGGTATGCAGCCGCACGTCGAAGCCTGGGTAGCCACACCTCGGCCAGGAGGTGTGGGACCTCGGCAAAGACCTGGTTGGTACCCAACATGTCTTCCTGACCTGTAAAAAGTGTTTTGACTTCCAGCATGTTTTCCCGAGATCATTTGCATGCATGTGAGACCTGTTTTGAGAAGTATGTTCAGTATGCTTTGCCATGTGTTCGTAGGACTTGGACCTTTGCCTTGACCCCGACGTCCCAAGAACTATGTGAGTGGTATTTTTAATAAAGTTATGTTATAAAGATTTGATAAAGCCTTGTTTCGTTTTGATAAAAGTATTTGATCAAGCATGAATGATTACCCCTATTTTTATGTATCAAGTAAGCTTTGTTTTGATGACATTCTCGGAGAAGGCCGCTAGGGTTATCTCGGCAAGGTGGCTTATGGTGATTAGTGATTGCATGGCCCGGTCAGAGTAGTTGCACCAGGTAGCTCGGCTAGGCATAGTGAGCCGAGCAGGGTGATTAACCATCTCACTTGGTTGGCAGTGAGTTGGATGTTATCAGGATAGGCATTATCCTATGGGAAAGTAATTTCTAGGAGGACACTGCTAAGGAGAGTTAGAGTTCTACTAGGAATGTGCCTAGCGAAATTTATAAAAGCTCATGACAGAATTTATGGACAGGTATGACAATTCTTACTCAAAAATATATAGAGCTTATTGTCAATTGTCTACTTATTGACTTAGGCATCAGAGGGGTTTTTGGCACATACCCGCCGGCTAACTCTTGTGTTTTCAGGTAACAAAGCGACAACGTTTGGAGGAACGTAAACTTAGTCAATAGGATTATACGAAAAGATTATTTTGTGCTCGTACAGGTTTGATGTGACATTTTGTCATATTAATTATTTAAAAAAAATTAGTGTTAATTTAGTCCAAAAAACCAAAAAGAACCTACTGTCAAACATTCAGAGATTTAACATTTTTTGGAATTTTAAGACTGACCAAAAGTCACACTTCCAATGGCCAATGACTTTTTTTTGGGGAGGGGGTGAATAACAGCCAACGACTTCACTTGTTTTGTAGGCTTTGTTTGTTTTTAAAGTTAAGTTAGGTGAAATTATTAGTATGGTAAGATTAAGTGAGTAAATTATTAGTGTAATGGAATTAAGTGAAGGAATTAAAAAATATATATATTTATGTCATGTCTATCTGACTAGGTTTTGTTTGTTTTGTCATTTGTAAACGAATTTAACTATCTGAAATTTATAAATATTCTTGTTGCACAGCTATCAAATTTGGACTACTAATGCCAACCAACAAATGTAAATGACCTATCAAATGTACCACAATGATGGTGTTTTTTAGCTTCTTTTTTTTATCAGCAAACAATATAATTATAAAAGGAGGGAAAAAAAAATTGATGTGATTTTTTTTCTTCTTTTGAAACAGGGAAAATTTTAATGAAATTTTGATGTGATTACTAAGGCATAGCTATCTCAGAATATAATTAACAGAACTAGTTCAAAAAAGAAAGAAAGAAAAGAAAAAAAGCGAATGCAACCAAACTATCACCAGACAAAAGAAATGGAAGTTTAGAGACTATAACTGAAAACACA